AAGATGAAGATGAAGATGAAGATGAAGATGAAGATGAAGATGAAGATAAAGATAAAGATAAAGATGAAGATGAAGATAAATATAAATATAAATATAAATATAAATATAAAGATAAAGATAAGTTTAAGATAAAGATAAAGATAAGTTTAAGATAAGGATAAGGATAAAGATAAAGATACCACAACTGATTTTGATCACAAAATGGTTGACCACAAGTTATTTTCATCACGGGACTACAAGCTGTGAGTAATATTCATATGTAAGTGGATGTATTTAAAGGAACGGTGGTTATTATTTCACACTACTCGTAACATTGTCAATAATATATTAATACAAGACTGTGCTTCTCATGAAAGCGCTGTCAAAAGGTGTACATTCCGATATTTCCTTGCTGGGAAACACATTTCGCTCGTTTAGAGTGAAAAGTTGCTAAGTCCACTTTTTGTGAAAACTCATACTTTGATAAAGAAGCAAGAGAAATTAAAAATGCATCGTTTCCAAAAGGCATGAAGGTACCTGTTGTAGTTTTTTCCGTTTATATTCAAAGTAGGAAAAATTTTCTAAGGCCAAGAGGGGCACAGAAAACGCGATTACGCTGAATTAATTTTTATTAGTAATAGATTGGTGCTTACACAATAAGTTAGAGTTTGGCCGAGCTTCTCCACCAAATGGTGAGTTTTTTGACTAGCCAAAAAAAGCAAAACTTTTCGAATTTTGGTATTAAGAGCGACTTGGTGTGAATGTAAGTGCTGATTTGGTGTGTGGTACGAGTCCAACTGCGTTGTGCCTTCGAATTTAATTTTGAGGCAGAAGGGTCTTAATATGTTGTTATCAATACAAGCGATATTTTTTTAATAAGCATCGTGCAAAGGCTTCTACGAAGACTGTCACTTGGCATTGTGTGAATTACAAATGCAAAACCTGCAATGTCTGCCGTTCCAGCTGGTAAAATAGTTATTTTTATTATCCGAGCGTCTATCAAATTAAATTTTGTTTTGTTCATTATAGGAACATTATTGCCAGTTGGCCATCGTGAGGATATGGCTAATGGTGCAATGGATAATGCCAGAAAAACCGTCAATAAATTTAAGAAAGCAGTGGATGGAAATTGATGGATAAATAAACAACTTTTGAATGGTCAACTAAAATATGCAATAATATTTTTTTTTT